AAAAAAAAAAAAAAAAAAAAAAAAAAAAAAAAAAAAAAAAAAAAAAAAAAAAAAAAAAAAAAAAAAAAAAGAATTAACATATTTTGTTACGAAAGATGAAAAACACAGTAAAATTTCATTATTACGTGAATCGGGTTAATTAGGTACGAGGCGCTTGGGTACACTATGTTAAGGTTCAGAGTGGTGTTGGTCACTTGCCAAAATATCTAGCACCAATGTGGTGCTCTTTCCAACGCCTTCCGATATTTAAGTCAATAACGTGTCCAGAGTCGTAATGTCCAAAAAAAATTGAAAAATTGATCAACCATGGCGACCGACAATTGACGATCGACACACCCGATTATAGCTCAAAGAAAATGTCTAGTCACCTCCGAGTATGTGGTTACCAAATGAGGAAAGTTGTATAGTTTTTACATGTCATATGTAATGATAACGATCGTATCATGATGTAGTGATATTTAGTAAATAAGATTATAGCATAACCCTAAGCTAACCAACGTATGATAGATCATGACATCTCAAGGAATAGGCACAACATGTGTGTTGGGGTAGAGCGGAAGAAAACGAGCCCAGGTAGACCCTACTCGGGATTCCCCAAAGAGCCAATACGAGGAAAGGTGCTAGAACAGTCAGTACCTTCGACACGAATTACAGTGACATTGACTTTCGAGTCTCTACAATCACTAGCTCTATAGGAGAAAATCAAGACGACAACTATGTAACCCGCCTATCTCTTCTAAATAGAACTATGCACATATTTACGAAGTATGTAGACTCTTCAAAATAAAACGTGTCAACTCGGTGAGTAATTCAAATTACTTAAATGTATAAAAAGACTGATCAATAGCGAGAAAAAAATTCAAATCTCATAAAGAAAAAAAATATATATTTTTTCATATTTTTTTACGTGATTTCAAGTACATAATAATCTTTACACTTATTTAGGAAACCGGGAGGAAAGTAAATGGAAACTGGTTAGAATTACTAAAAAAAAGTGGAAAAAATATCATTTTATGTACGATTATAAACAATATTCTTCATATACAAAAATAAAATTCTTTGAATTCAGAATAATATCACAGTTCATAAGAAATATCGCGTCGTTGAAAAGGTATAAAGCGGCTTCGTAAAATGACGTTCGAGTCCATGTTATAGACTTTAAGCATGTGGTTGGAATCTTTGATAAAATAGGGTGAGTGTTCGAGATAACTTCATGAGTGAAATTTTTCGGTATCAAATAAAAAAAAAGTATATTTATTGCGCAAATGACATGCTCAAATAGAAACATCGTTGAAAGAGGGTCGTAGCTTCGTGGATCTGTGCTCGAGATTATTAAATGAAGCGATAGAATAATAAACTCCGTAATTTCTTAAATGATTTAAAGATTATATAAAAATGAAAATTAATTTTTTATATAATAAAAAGAAAATCATGATATTTTCATAATTTTTTTAAAAATTTTAAATTATATATATTAATTTTAAAGGTGTATTTTGTATTTAAAAGTTTTGATCATAAAAGATTTATAAATTAGATTGAAAAGAATATTTAAAAAGAAAAAAAGAAGAAGGAAAACGCGTGGGGTCCACTGACATGACCACCTGGCAACGGAATTTTTCCGTTGGAATTTTTTTATTTATATTTTATTTATTTATTTATTCTTATTCTTTGAAGAAGCCCAACAAAAGGCAACCTCTCAATTTTTTTTTTCCAATTATTCTAAAAATAATTAGTTTGGATAAAATTTTCATAAATAATTCACTACGGATAATTGTTGATGAATAATTTTTTTAATTTTTTTAATTTAAATTTTTTAACATTTCATACTTTCAAAATTTAATGATTATATTTATACACATAATTTGTCCTACATTGCATAAAAGTTTAATTGATTAACTTTATGTCATTAGAGCTTAGAACTTGTAGGTCCATAAAGTTCTCGTGTGTCCATTTTAAACTTATAACTTGTAATTGGATCCGTTCTCGGAGGTACCCTAAAAAAAGGAACCTTTCCGTGAAAGCGCCTCTCTCTCTCTATAAGAGACATGCGTTCCAAGGTGTGAAGTGAAAGAGAAAAGTGGGTTTTGAATAAGACGACCTTTTCATTTTTTTTTTTCATATTGAATATTGAAAAGTAATAAGAATTAGAGGAGTTAAGCTTTTTATCATCATGGCATCGAGCTATTTTTCCCCACGACCTCCCCTACAGTATCGTCACTGCAGTATAGTTTAACCATCAAGTTCGGGATGGATTGGTGTGGTTATAGTCTCCTAAATCAATCTTGGACTTCAAACTCAATCTAACTTTGAATGTAGTTTCAACTCCTACTAAACTAGTTGTTACTATGGGGCCCTAAAGTAAAATAAGATTTTACTCGAGTCTATGGACTTTTGTTGCTCTCCACGTGCTTTCAAACTAATAGATTAAATGGTATGTCAATTTG